CTCAGCTCAACAGTGACGGCCTATAGTCAGTGGCGGACTAAACCATTTTGGGGCCCAAGGGAGTTTTTTTAGATGGGGCCCTCCTTCATGGATGCACCTCCTCCTTTTTTTTCCTTTTGCCGGGTGATCGAGAAGCCATCGGCCCCAGCTCATTGGTGGCTTTACTACTTTTGGATGTCAGAGGAATAGTCCATTTTAGATATGAGGGAAGGGGTGTGCTGTTGAACTTGGGCAGTGCAGTGGCCAACCTAGCACTCTCGCTTCTCTGACAGAAGATTTCATCCTGGTCTTCACAGGGCCTTTTTGAGCATGCTAATGTTCACCTGTATACAGATGCTAACCCTTTTGCTCAGTAAAGCGCTCATGGACAAACTTTTGCTTCAACTCGCTCTGGCTCCTTTTGACTGTCATGGTGTTTGTATTTCGAAATTTGTAAATCCAGATTTGCATGTTCTTCCAGGTCTGTGTAGGTTTCTTTACTTTGGGTTCCCCTGCAACCATTTACATGTGAAATCGCCCACAATGCCCCCCAATGTGACAATAAATTCAGGTCAATTCAATTTAATTTGATGTAAACAATATACAGAAGCTTCTGCTCAACGATAGGCTGAAGAAATCAGTGTCATATGAATCTGATTCATTAACGGCACCGGTGAAAATCTGTTTGTGCTGTAGATGTTCCCTACAGAAGTCAAGTCTTATATGCAATCTTTTATGATCATTATTGCAATTTCTAGTGATCCCCAAGTGTCAAAGATATATTAGTGTATGTCAGAAGTATGAAATGATTTATTTCTCACTAAAAGTATCAAATGTAGCAGCTCAAAAACTAGTGTCTAACCCCAGCAGAATAACCCCCTTCCTCCACTTCCTTGGAGGTCTTACCACACCAACTGGCCACGTCTCTTCAAAGGGATTTCCTCCACCACACCACCCAAAGATTACCCAATCCTTCAAATTATACAGCTCCCAAAGGTCCAGTGGGATTTCATGCTCTGTGCTAACCATGAGCCGCCGTGTTTTTTCCCCCCAACCTGGAATAAAGTCTGAAATTGTAATAAGAGTTTTCAAATGAAATGGTGAGGCTTACCGAGACAGAAACTTATATAAGCTGAGAGAGGGGACACCATTGGCGTATGGATAATTGCCTGTGAGGGATTTCAATACAAATTGCGGCTCAAGAAAGCGGATAAGCAACAGGAAGAGTGTCTGCGCTCCTAAGCATCCAAATCTACTGTGAGAGCGCAAAGAGCCGTGACTAACTCTGAATAAGTGTGTTTGTGTGTTTAGCTCACGCTCAAACTCCACTGGCTCTGGTTTGGACACTTCTACCAGAGAGATGTTTGGACCGGGCCCCCGACAGGTAGAGATGAGGACAACATGATGATGCATTTAGGGCCAAGGTCCTTAAATTATGCTTTTAGTACTTTGTTTTATTATGTAGAAGAACAAAATAATGGTTTTAGTAAGAATTGCTCTAGTAAGATTAGGGGTTTGTAGAAACTTTAAGACTTCTAAGCATTTGAGCGTCTCTGTTGCTGCGGCTCAATGTCAAAGTAAACATCACGTGTATTTGCCCATTGCTCTGGCATGCTTGAATATTTTGGGGTTCAAATACAGTATAATGGGAATGAGTTTCTTTGTTCTTTGACCGGAGTCTCTGGACTTGATTCCTTTGATTACTGCTTTATACCTGAAACACATAAGGCCAGTGGTCTCAAACTTGTGGCTCAAGGGCCATTTGCAGCCAGTGAAAAGGTATATTTTCTGGCCCACTACTGGATAGCAAAGTTTATTGTCACTGCGGACCCTACTGAGAGTCAGATTCAGACCAGATTCATTTTATTTGCCATTTGCAGTAAAACCAGATTAGAATACATTTGCAAAAGTCCCCAGTGTGCACAAGACAAGTACATAAATAAAACAGATTAAAAATACATAAGACAGGAGACAATTGACACTGTGAAATCGATCGACTAAAACAGTTTCAATACAAGTGCGAGTCAGAGCTAACTCAGTATGTTGAACATGTAAAGCTAATTTTTTACAATAAACATTTAACCCTAAACACAAAAAGTAATAATTAAAATAGAAAAATAGGCCTTAATAAACTAATCATCATTGAACCCAAAAGTTCACAACACTGAGCCTTCAAGTCTTTGGTCCAGTTTTATCTCAATCCAAGCAGAGCAAGGGTGTCCAAACTGTTTAGTAAGAGGGCAACTTTAGTTCAGCAAAAATAGTCCAGTCCAATATGGATTGATTGGATTCGGGATGTACTGAGCTTAAAAAATGAGGTGACTTGATGACATGTTTGAGTTGGATCACATTTGGCTGAATTTGGTTGAATGGCAAATGTTTACTCACTTGCTACATAAGCTCCATACAATCAAAAACAAATATCAGTAAAGTCAAACAAAGTCCACGACTGGATTCTAGAGATCAAGAGTTTCACAACGAGGTATAACATGTCTGTGGTGGCTGAGCTGAAGCTGTGAACTTGTGTTTAGGGTTGCTTTGGGTTAGCAAGGCAGAGGGCCATATAAAACACACAAAGGGCCGCAATTTGGCCACGGGCCTTGGTTTGGACAACCCCCAACAAGAGAGTTTTATTTACAGAGAAAGATTCAAAGGGAATTCTGACTGTTTTTTAATTCTCCCACTTTGTCCGGGTGTCCTACTCTAAACCCAAACAGACAGCTTTTCATTTCATTTACTTTCTCACAATTAAAGTCCTTGTTTTTCGTGTGTATAATCCAGTTTACAGCCAGTACGAGCTGCATTATTGAGACATCCTCCAGAGCTGGCTCTCCCCCTTCCCACGGCACACCTCTGTTTGCGCGATCAAAGCCGACAAGGCGTCCCCCCACGGGTTCCTCAGACAGACACAACAGACCCTCCATTTAGCAGCCAGATTAACACTGATCCCTCAGCTCCTGATCCAGCCGCCGCTCCATCCCCGAAAACCAAATCTGATAAACATCTCATTTCCACACTCGATATTGCCATAATCAAAAGTCCTGCCATTACGCCGAGGCCCGTTTATCACCGCGCTCGCCGTAACGATCCGCCCCCACCCGCACCCCCGGCTGAAGCACATCCGTCACCAGCGCCCATCCATCCGTATAAAGGACACTTGGATGAGGCTAGTATTGTCTCGCTGTTTGATCAAGCGTAGAATGAAGCAGAGAAATTAGGCTTTGGTTTGGCTGTTTTCTCACCCGCGCAGAGGTATCGGTAAATTATTTCACACTGCTACAGCAACAAATGGGCTCTTCATGGCGGCAAATTTAAATATTTCTGATAATCTGATCTTAAATGCTCAAGGTTTTCCATCAACGACTTTCTTATTTTTTGTTATCAATCATTTATTTATGTTGTAATATAGAACAAATGTAAACACACACATACAAACGCACACACACGCTTACACACGTACACACGCACACACAACGTCCAAAAATGTATATTCAAAAGTCAGTTTACCTCTGTGATTCGACTTAAAATGAGAAACTAGTAAACTCATCTTGTAAAAATGCGAAATAAAATGTTAGAGCCATAATTATCAAAAACCTGTAAAAATCTGTATAATCTGTGTCACTCAAACAAAAAAGCAGTTATAGGCATTTCGAAGACTTCAGAGGAAGGTGCTCTGCTCCTTCCTCTGAAGTGTAAGATGGGTAGACATTCTAGATTTGGAATGTCTGCTCTCCATCTCGGCTCTTAAAGCAATGGTACATATGTCTGTCGCAAAAAGTTAAAATACATTTTTGAAATGACACTTTTTGTATAACATCTGCAAACGTTAACAAGGTCTTGTTAGTTAAGAAACATAGCTACTACTTATTTGTTTATAGTGTATATATTGTGTGTGATCCCTGTGTGCTCTTACTACTGTCCTATATGTGCGATACAACATCGAAATTTCCCCGCTGTGGGACGAATAAATGAATTCTTATCTTATCTTATCTTCTTATCTGTCTGTGGATGTAAAGGAGACGGCCCTGGGGCTCATTTGTTTCATGGTCTTTGTTATAATGCAGAAGTCCAGAACAGAAACAGGTTGTACAACATTCTTCTTTGCCTCATTTTTGTAAGTATGGCCCAATAAAGACAAATAAGGTTTCCAATGGAGCTGGTTATTGAACGTCAGATACAAAAGAAAAGTATTATAAAAGTTGAGGATATTCCTTGAGAGTTTTCAACTATGCCGTCAAGAGAGCAAATGGTGGAAAAACACAAAAGAGGACATCTACAAAAGTTGTTGAGTCTGAATTTGTTATACCTTTGGTCAAACTGTGTGAATTATTTCCTTTTAAAATGTACGTTGGTTTGAATTTTGGCTAACTGAACATTGATCCTTATACTGCAGAGAATATGCCATTTCATTTGACCATGAACACGTTGAGTATCGGCCTAGAGCCAACAGATTCATTCGATAATAATAGGACTTTTAACAATTGTTTGTTTTGTCAGTCCACAAATGTTATGGTATTCTAACATGTAAATGTTATGACAGATTAGAAGGCTTTCTGTTCCCTCTGGCTCCACAAGTCTATCACTGTTTCAAAATGTTTATGTAACTTTGGTTTGTGTTTGCTATTTTGTGTAAAAATGTACTCGTATATCTGTGTATATATGTTGTCCTTTTGAAAACGTTTTATTAAGGGTGTCATGAACAATTATTTTTGACAATTGATTATTAATTGACTGGTGTCAACTGAAACTACAGTAACTACCACCTGCATTAATATAGGTTGCCATGGCGATGTACTTTCCTATGGAATGTTGCTTGTAACCCTGGCAACACACTCTAGAACTCTATGACATCACAAAGCAAGGACACAGTCAGTGTGAAGGTCTCAGAGACAAATCTGAGACCGGAGAGAAACCAAGACCCGGAGAAAATCAAACGACAGAGCTCTTTTGACAAACGCCAAACCTTCATCACGCGTACATTACAATTGGATGGTGACATGGAGTATGAAACACTTATGAAGATGTGGGAGAAGGAAAGAAAAGCCCTGTTAGACTTCTGGATGAAGAAGTTTGAGCAAGAAAAAGAGGCCAAGGAGCATTTATTGAAACTCCTCCACAAAGAACCGACTGTTTCCATCAATGTGGATGAACTGACCAATGTCCTTGGGGCAGAGCCGAGGGTCAGACGGATCCAAGGTGCAGACAACCACAAAGGTCAGCGCTATCAGATTGAGCTGGGGACTTCTGAGGACTTGGACCATGAAGCCGAGTTCTACAAAGCCATCATCACAGTCACAGTAGGACATGATCTGGAAGAACTGGAGGTTAAACCTGCTGTGAGTGTTGTAGATGAAGAAACAGCTCCTTCAGGGACACAGGCTGAGGCTGAGACTGCTGTGGACCACAGTCTGGAGTCTGACGCTAACCTCACAGACACAGCCGTGGAGAACCTCAGCACGGAGAGAGAAATCCTCAATGAGACTGTTTCTGCTGTAGAAGCCTCTCTGTCAGTGCTAAATGCTGCACTGGATACAGTCTCAGGAGCACCAGCTTTAAAGGCCGACTTTCCTCAGGTCATAAAAAACAAAAAGAAGAGGAAAAATAAGAAGGCCGCAAAGCTAATCATTAGAAGTACACAGCAGGTCCAGGAGCCAACTGAGACCCAGACCGCCGAGGCTTCTGAGGACTTGGACCATGAAGCCGAGTTCTACAAAGCAATCAACACAGTCACAGTAGGACATGATCTGGAAGAACTTGAGGTTAAACCTGCTGTGAGTGTTGTAGATGAAGAAACTGCTCCTTCAGGGACACAGGCTGAGGCTGAGACTGCTGTGGACCACAGTCTGGAGTCTGACGCTTACCTCACAGACACAGCCGTGGAGAACCTCAGCACAGAGAGAGAAATCCTCAATGAGACTGTCTCTGCTGTAGAAGCCCCTCTGTCAGTGCCCAATGCTGCACTGGATACAGTCTCAGGAGCACCAGCTCAGGTCATAAAAAACAAAAAGAAGAGAAAAAATGAGAAGGCCGCAAAGCTAACCATTAGGAATACACTGCAGGTCCAGGAGCCAACTGAGACCCAGACCGCCAAGGTACTCCCTGATGCAGTGGTGAAACCACAAGACACACAGACCCCACATATGAAGCCCGTTGAGTCTTCAGCAGAGACTAGAGTTCAAGACGAGGATACAATTGTGAAGGAAGTGTCTCCCCTGAAGATGGAAGAGTGTCCCTGCTCAGACGTGATGGACATGATGGCCGTCACCACACATGGCCTCAGTGTCAGAAAGACAAAGTTACTGAAGAAGAAGAATCTCAACCTACAATGTGCAGAATCTTCAACAACAGAAAACAAACTGAATGTTGCAAAAGAGGCCCAACAGGCTGCAGCAAAGGCCCCACAGCCCCCAGCAGACGTCCAGCCGGCAACAGCAGAGGCCCATATGTGTGGAGGAAAACAGCAGTCTCAAACAAAAAGCGCTAATGGCAAAAATAAGGACATTTTCTTAAAATCCACTAGAAAGGAAACAGAAAAGAAGACAAACAAAACACAAAGGACACACAAAGGGGGTAAAAAGGGGAAGTTTTAAATGTACAAATATTAAACCGAGCCAAGAGAACAGAGAGGGTCAGTAAAGAACTGAAGGTCCTCTATAACACCCAAGAGAAATGTAGTATCCATATAGGATTAATGCATGTACCAGAACTTGTATCACCTCATGAGATAATAGCACTGCCTCCTCACACCACATTGATCAGGCTACAGCAGCGGTGCTCGACTCACTGCAGAAAGGCACGTGTGGCCACAGGTTTTCATTTGAACCAGTCTTCAGGTTCAGACTGGACTCATTTTATGAAGTGAGTGAAGTCTGATGTGGTCTGTTTGCTGGAAGAAAAACCTGCATTCACACAAGCCTTATTGGAATGAGTTTGAACCCCTGGGTCGTCAGTATCTGTGGAGGAGTAAAGGACTATAGGGCTGGGTGATCTGGAAACAAAACAGATTACTTTGTTTTTCTCGGTCAGTTTGGTATGCAACACAGGCTTGTATACAGAACTGTACATGTTCATTTAATTTAGGTACATTTAAATGTACCTAAATTGGATTAAACTAGTTAAATTGTATTTAATTTATCTATAAGTGCCCTTATGCAATGGTTACAGTAAACAATTGAAGAGGGGCACTTACTGTAGTCAGTCAAATGAACTAATGTAGAGTTAATGAAGGGTTCCCCAGTTCTCTGTCCTAATGTGAGGGACTGAAGAGTGTCCGTCTTTAGGTCCTCACACTGTTACTGTCACATGTTTGGTGTCTGTCTTGTACACGTTTAAACGCCTGCTGGAAAACTCTCTTCATGATCAACCATCACGCCAAACGTCTGAAGAAAACGTTTGCACTTTAGGAGCAAAACCTGGGGTCGGCAACTCAAAAGCTTCAAAGAGCAACAATTCACCCAAAAAACAAAAAACAAATTTGCAAAAACTTAACAGCCTTGTATAAGACTTATATGAAGGCAACACGGGCAGTGAGCTGTGTTAGCTACATTAGCTAACTTCTCTTAAAAAGCAAACATGAAGCAGTCCTTTCTAATTGGCTGAATGCAAATGTTTCAGTTCATTCATCCTTGAATTTTCGTTTCTTATCGACTCTTTCACTTTTGAAATGCACATTATCCTACAGAAACCACATTCAAACTTGAAATAAAATATACCTCTCCCCACTATTTTCATTTGAAGAGGTTACAGGAGCCACTCAAGGAGCACTGCAGAGCCATGGGTTGCCAACCCCCGGGCTAGACAATCGAGATGTCCAATAAAATTACTATTAATTGCACATGTTCTCTACTCTGTTTGAATATCGATGTAAGTAATCATCCTTCGCATTGACTCAATCCATTCTGTATTCAATGGTTTGAGTAATCTTTATTGTTTATTTCTTAACCCACGTTCTTCTTTTCATTTTTGTGATACAGTAATGATACAACTGTGTAATGCAGACAGAGTAAAACTAAATATCTCTGCAACCTTATACAACATCATGCTATGGCAAAAAATTTGTCCGAGCTAGAAACATGGGTAACACTTGAGATTAGCCATCCATCCATCCTTTGCTGGGTCACACCTCCGCCAGCTCATCTGGGGAATCCTGAGGTGATCCTAGGCCAGCTGTGAGAGGTTGTGGATCTTCCTCAGGGTGTCCACCCCGTGAGACATCAGGGGTACACCTCGCAAGGGAGGCGTCTGTGAGGCATCCCGGACAGATGCCATTGTGGCCATACTTGCATGTGAAAGCCAGATTTTGTCAGAAGCTAAGCAGGGCAGGGCCTGGTTAGTACTGTAAATGGGAGACCTTTGGGAACACCAGCTAGAAGGAGTCTGGTGTGTGTGTGTGTGTGTGTGTGTGTGAGAGAGAATGGTTAGGGGATGGGCCGATGGCATATACTGGTTGCCTCGCTCCTGTCAGTGTGCCCCAGGGCAGCTGTAGCTACAGAAGTAGTTTATCACCGTGAATGAGCAATGAATATCAACCGTCTTTGAGTGAATAAAAAGCGCTATATAAAACCAATGCATTATTATTATTATTATTAGATGCTCGAGACAACTCTACTAGTTCGTAGATTATCCCTCATTAATTAACAGGTAATTAAGTGCTAATTAGTGAACCTATGCCGAACCCCCATGGGTGTCAGTCAGTAGTTAGATGTTGAATAAGGCCATGTAGAATGACTAATAAGTGCTTGATAAATACTAATTATGAGCTTATTAAGCATAAATTATACACTAATTAGCTGTTAATTAGTGATGGCTAAACCAAACTGTGATGGAAGCGTGCATACATCTCCACAACACAGACTCGTACTTGTCCCAGAGAAGAGCCTTCTCCTGTTTTTTACATGTAAATGTTGTTCCCAATGGTAATGGGAGCCTGGGTCTCGCTCTACCCAGCCAACCCACAGACGAGAGCTCAGTCCTGGATCTAAAGCCTACAGTTCATGGGAGTGGATCCCTGTCTAACTTTGGTTCTCCGAGAGGTTACTTGTGTAAAATCTCATGGGGTGTGAATACTTTTCATGATACCAACCATTTTTAGGCATACTTTAAAGCACAGCATTGACCTGTAACTTCGTCCACTCTTGTCCAGACAGACGACAAACTTTAACACACACAACATTCCAAGCAAAGCAATAGCATTTTGAGCTGTCTAAAAGTAGTTCACATCTGCATAGTACATCACATTTATAGAAACGTTAGTGCTTAGTCATTTCGCTCCGAACGCTCTTGGCTGGGGTCAGTATATAACATCAGAGAGTGAATGTAAATGCAGGGTACTTTCAGAAGCCGCGGTTTGACTGGTGACTAATAGAGAAGCTCTTTATGTATATGACTCACATAAATAACTGCAGCGGCCGGACATTAATATTGGCCTTTTGCAGGGAGCGTATAGAAGAGAAGAAAATATAGGGCCGCATCAATACAAGCCTCAACCTCCCGAGTAGCATTAATCAGCTGTGTGTGGCAGTACGGCGCTGGCTAAAGTTTGGAAGAAGAGGAGCAATGGTGAGATGGGGAGAGGGGAGGTGAGAGGTGTGGGACGGCTCTGTCTTTACCCCACGCGGTTTGAATCACGGCAGGGATCGGCGCTAATGAAGCTAATAATGGATCTGTGTGAGTGTAATGGGAAAGCTCCCCTGTCCAAATCTTGTCTCGTAGAGGTGTAATCTACAGAGAATGTATGATGATTTCCTGGGGTTTTCAACAGATGAAGACATGTTGTGCTTTTGTCTGTGAATTAGAACTTAGATTAGATTTTTTGTCCCTTAAAGCTGGGGTACCTAACTTTCTAAACACAACATAAAAATCATAAAGGCCATCTAACTCATTCTGTTGCTTTCAAACCAGTTCTGTCACTACTTTTCACGTGAATCTTTGTTCTTTGGATGCGCTTTTTTATTCAAGATAGGACTAGCCCTCAACCCAAAGCGTCAAATAGTGACTCACAGGGCTCATTCTTACAAGCATGCAAAATATAAAATTCTTTCTGCTAACATCAGGTGTTGGGGTCTGACTTGTGCATTTTACTTGTACAAGTCCCTTTCTGTTGGCAAAAAGAACAATATATAAAGAAAGAAAAGTTAGGTACCCCAGATTTATTGATATTATAGGAGGATTTTGGAGTGACGTCATTGTTTATAGTTTTTCCGCTCCGGTCACGTGGCCGGGTGGCACTATAGCATTGAAAGCTACTTGAATGCTACCGTTAGCTTTTTTTAGACGTTAGTAGAGAGGTTTTACTAAATCAAATGGTCCATTCTTGTTGTGTGGTCGGTAGTACAATCTGGGGACAGATTACGTTTTTTTTCTGATTATTTCGGAAAAGAATAGCAAAAAACGGCCGTGGTAAAGCGGTTGCCCTTTTATGCTGTTGCCTATGGTAAACGTAGAACGGGAAGCCGGGAGGATGAGGGGATACAAATTCATAAACAAATTTAAGTTTTGCAACTACTTTCACTGTGCACTTGTTCACTCATTCATTCATTCATGAATGATGATTAATTACAAACATCGCATTTTGGTTGCTCATCCCCGCGGCTTCCTGTTCCACCTTTACCGTAAGTAACAGCAAACAGGGGCAACCCGCTTTTAATGTGTGGCAAAATGCTGGGTCACTTTACCGCGGTGAAAAGCGCAAGAAATGGATTTTCACCACGGACCCTTCTTGAGTGAAGGGTCCCGGGTTTTCTTCGAAGAAAGAATGAATGTCCCTGAGTCCCAGTCCCGGCAGATCGGTGCCAAAAGAGGTGAGTCTGACCAATGTTTTTACTCGTCATCCCAGGTCTCATCTGGGCTTTGGATTTGTTCAGTTCGGTCTCATATACTTATTTTTAGCTTGTCTTTATAGCTCCTCTGATCTTCTTGCCTTAAAGTGCTTATATACAGCGCTATTCGCCCACTGAGTCTTTTAAAAGTACTCGTCGCATCCATGCTTCAGTATGGGCCACTCTGCCTTCTTGCCACCCGTGCGAAGGGCGCATGCGCATGCGGGTGTAAACAAAGATCTTCCTTTACCATAATCATAATCACAGGCTTGATAGACATGAAGTAGCAGATCACTGGAGCGAGCCACAACATGTGCACAACACTGTCGGATGAACCCTCTATTACAGACACAGAAAACAATTTCAAGTGTGTCTGTATAAGCAGTGAAGGCTGAATGCATGAACTTGCTTCTAATATGCAGTAAACGTGTCAAAATTGTGGGGGGACTCACTTTTTTAAAGGTGTCAAAAGGTGTTCCTCAGGGCTCAAACTTTGGCCCAAGGTTGTTTCCATTTTTTGTTTTGTGTCTGATATGTCGCTGCGCTAAAGTTTCATACCACAAGCTATCTTTTATCTATTTTAACTATGTGTGTTTAGTATTATTGAAAATGTTGTCTCTGATGCACACTGGGTACTTTTGGACATGTATTCCAATGTGGTCTTATAGTAATATATAATAACAAAAAGCAGTAATGTGAAACAGAACCATTTGAGTTGCTTGATTTCGTCACAAAAGAGGTGCCATTTCATTGGATCAACAGTCTCGCTAATGTCACTATCACAATTTTTTTTATTTTCTTGGAGATTCAAAATATGGGAAATACATTAATCAATATCTCAGGGATTCTAAGCATATAGCAGACAAACATATGCTAACTATGTCGATGATTAGCATATATACATTATAGAGTAACTAATGTCTCTGCTGTCTTGCTATACCCTTTGGTCCCGCTTGCCGTATCATGTTGGAACACAGTCCGCACAGAGACCGTTGCAGCTCCTCATTCTATCACAGAAGATCCGGGAGTTAGTTAACATTTCATTTCCAGTTGTGCTAATTAAAAGCGTGTGTGACGATCCCGCCGAGCCCACTCATTTGGATGGGCTCCATTTGAAGTGCCACACACAGCAATAGATGACATAAGTGACGGCGGATATGCAGCCTGCTCCCATCGGGAACGTAATGGATGATTAGAAGACATAATCTCAGAGAAGCAGAAATTCTTAAGGTCCCTTTCTGTCTTTTACTCAACTAAGTGTCTGTTATGTAAATTTATAAGGATATTTTGTTCAGGGACTTGCCATGCTTGCACAATTTTGAGTGTAATTGTTTTTTTTTCAGTTAGTTAAATCTTAAGTTATTGTCAAAACATTGCAGAAATATGGCAGTGTGTATGGTACAGAGGCTTCATCAAATAAAAAAAGATTGCTCAGAAAAGCTTAATTAATAGGGAAAATATTTGTATCTAAATTATAATGTAAATGTAAAAAGAAATTGCTGTAGGATAATTTGCATGGTGCCACCTGCATGTGAAAGCCACATCCTGTTGCCTAAAAGGAGTCTATGTGTGAATGGTTGGTTCTGTAGTTACTTTAGGATACAGCTGTGTAAAGGATCACAGTTGGACCCATTTTTAATGTTTCTTGAGATTTGTAATTTTTTCATGTTTTTGGAATCAGTTCATAGTGAGTATCGGCGGATATAGACATTGGTTTCAGATTGGAAAATGCTGTCGTGCATCCCACTAGTGAAGTATCTGAATGACGTCACTACTGACACTCCCCCGCAGTATGGCAACACCGGCCGCCCACATGCTTCGGACAACACTGCCGCAATGAGTTGTATGCCCCTGGTCATTTTAGATGAAAATGAAATACCAGGAGCAAAATTCCTCCATGAATCCATCTGGGATCATAGTGTTTCCCTGTTGAAACGTTGGCTTGACTGTTGTGGTCTATCATTGACTGGTAGAAAGTTTGAAATTCATAAAAAGGTATGGAGAAAAAATATGCTAAGGAGGGTATAAGGACTTGGCCCAAAACATGAAAATACAATTTTCACTTTTATAATAATAACAATAATGATATAATAATTATAATTCCAATTACCTCTGTTACCGACACCAGGGGTCATGTTTTCATCAGGGTTTGTTTGTTTGTAGTCTGTTTGCTTGAACCATAATTCAAAGGGTTAGGGGTGAATTTGTATGACATTTCCTGGAACAAATCACATTTTGAAGTTGATCTCGATCACCGTCTGGACCTTAGAATGGAACTGTGCCTCTTGGTGGGAGTCTGCAATCTAAGTGATTTTATATTGTTTTTTTCCACTGCATGTGAAGATCATTAAGAATGCATAAAACATATTAGTGTGAACTTCCTGAATAAGTAAATGCATTTTCCCATCTTGAATGCAAAGCCAGCAATAACCACATGTTATTTTCATTTTGCAGACCTCACAAGGAGCCGCAAATAGCTCAAGAAAACACAGAAATCTCAAACAAAGGCACATTCGCACATGACTAATCTGATGTTTACGTGCGCATGGTGCGGGTGCATTTGCACTCACCCCAGGGGCAAACACAAAGGTGAGTGCGCTCAAACTCCCTCCACGCAGCACATAAGTCATCCTGTAACCAGACGCCTTTTAATAGATGTAACAATTAGCAAAGTCAGGCCAGCGCTACATCACGCCCAACTCTGCAGCCAGGTGATTCTTTACCCACAATGCACTGTGTTCTCAGGGGTGAGCGGGAAAGGTCAGGGAGCCTCATTAACACGAGCGCACAGGGGCCCCATGCTTTAACACTGGCCCTATGCTTTAACATGGGGCACGGTGCTAGACCAGGACAGTATGCTGTATGTCCTGCTGCCGTTTGCATATGCACAAGGGGCCTGAGTGATGTGACGCACAACGTTGACCGTGCAGTAGGGCAGATGAAAAACAAACCACCAGGACACATTTGCCGAGCTGCAAACGTTTGTGTGTGTGTATGTGTGTGTGTGTGTATGTGTGTGTGCCAGTTCGAGGAAAGGGGCATATGACATCAGACAAGTTAAAGAAATTAGAGCTGGGGCAGTTTTGGAAGTATTCTCTATCTGTCGATGGCTATCAGTTGGTTGCCCTCCGCCGGTGTAGGGCCTGTTGGTGAATTTCCCAATTACGAGAAGTATGTGCGTGTGATGAAAAAATGCTTATACCTCTATACAAGAAATAATGATGTTGAGTTTAAAGCAGGGCAATTCCTGCAGACTTGGCTTTTGGGCTGGAGAAGTGCCCACATATGACGACACCATTAAGTACAGTATATGTCGGTGGGTGCAAAAAGGATGGTGGTTAAGGTTTTCTGCGTTTTTATCATTTTTATGCATGTTGTGTGTTTTTATTATTCTATTAACATTACACCTCCCAAAGCACCCCAGCCACCCACCTGACTGTGGGCAAATTCAGGACACCCGTGCTTTGGACACAAAAGGCAAGGATGGGGAGAGGAAGCAGGAAGCAAGGAAGTGGCCAAAGAACAGATGAGGAGAGCGGACACAGAGAGCTGGAGGCACGCGCAGAACCGAGGAGAAAACTCAGGACAAGAACTGAGCGGGGGCCCCTGGTTTTAGCCCTGTCTTTTATTAAATTATTTTACACCTGCTTTTATCCCATGGCTTTTGTTTAACTGTGGTCTTTTGAAACCGGGTACAAAGAACCTTTCACGGTGTGTGACATATACAATGCCTTGCAACAATAACAATAGTCAGAGCTGAAGTTGGCTGATGACAATCTGCTTTCGATCTTAGACAACATGGGTTAGCAGCAGAGGGCCACATATGGTGACACAGAGGGCCGCATTTGACCCACGGGCCTTAGTTTGGCATTATGGATTTCATTGTGTGCATCCATAGGCGT